TTTCTGGCTTCTTCCCCTATAGCCTCAAACAGTAGTGACAGCCGTCATTTATAAATCATGGGCTGTACACACCTGGGTTTGCATCACACATTTTACCTACATCGCCCCCATTAGTTCTCCATTAACTGATCTGAAAAATGATAATGTCTGCAACATCAGTTAAGAGTTCCATGATATGGAAGTTATGAATATGTCAGTTAGCCAGGTATAATTCTTCCTTTTTTTTTTTCACCCCCCGAGGGGATGGTCACGCTGCAGTCCCTTCTCCTCCATTCTCCTCTCGGGATCTTGGGCACACACGCACACGCGCCCGGCATGAGTTTTAAGCCACCGGGTCCGGGACGCGAACCACGGTCGACTACGTGGGAGTCCAGCAACACAGCCATTACGCTAACTGCTGGTTCCCAATTCTTCCTTTTCTTAAAGAATGGTTTGCATTCTATAAATTGTCTTTATAAATGAGATCTCTTGTGTATTTTTTTTTATTGCAGATATTTAAAGACAGTCTAAGATTTTTGTGTTATAATCTGATTTTTGTAGACTAGTTGCAAAATATATTATGTCAACAGTTATTAGCATAATATCTAGTCATATGAATCCCCATTTTTTTCACTATTATGTTTTTCCACCAAACAGTAAATCTTTATGATCCTAACCAGTTTCCTGCTAAATTCAAGAATTTTGTTTTCATGGTAAAAAATGAGAAGAGCTTTATTAGGGGCTATTTTTCTTTAGCCAAAACACATGGGCCAAACAGGATGTCTTTTCTTTCAGGAATGGCTACAAGTTTCTGTACTGTTCTGCCCGTGCCATCGGCATGGCCGACATGACCCGGGGCTACCTGCACTGGGTCAATGACAAGGGCACAATCCTGCCCCGAGGCCCTCTGATGCTGTCCCCCAGCAGTTTGTTCTCTGCCTTCCACAGGTATCTCTCCAGTGGGTAGCCTCAGCCGTGCATGTGGGGTCATGGCTCGGGCCTAAATGGGGTGTGTGTGAGGATGGATGTCAGACTTGCAAGGATTTCTGTCTGCCTCAACACTTCCACATAGTTCTTTGGCTCCTTTGTAGCATCTTAACACACAGCTCATCTGGTCTGTGCCAGACGTGATGGAAACAAATCAAATTCTAGGAATTGAATTTTATTCTTCCCAAACCAGTCATCAGACTGACTGGCAAAGGAGAAGAAAGATACCAGTTACAAAGGATTAAAGAAATTGGATGGTTGTGAGCACTGAAATGTTTCCGGGATCATACACTATGGAGAAAATTGCCATTTAAAGGCAGCGATTGTATCTGAATTTTTTTCTTAGGGAAGTGATAGAAAAGAAACCAGAGAAGTTCAAAATCGAGTGTCTAAATGATATCAAGAATCTGTTTGCCCCGTCCAAGCAACCTTTCTATGCTGCCTTTGGAAACCGTCCAAACGTAAGTGTCTCTGGGGCTCTGGATTCTGAAGTAGAGGATATTGAGAGGATTGTACTTCTTAGGGTGTAGCCATGTCATAATTCTCAAGCCAGTTTTATAAGCAAAAGGAAATGTCTGTTCTGCCCATTGGGTTTCCCCCCAATCTGTTCCAAATTTCTGTAGCAATTGGGCAGCACCTATAGGTGCAGATAAGCCCCAGAACTTACATAAAAGATACTTTTTGTTTCCGTGGCTTCACTTGTATTTCCTCAGGTGGCTTTGACTCATTTTCTAAGTGGTTCTAAGATCCAAGTGCTTGGATCTCCCCCAGAGCCACAGTAGGAGTGCCCACCCTTCATTACCACTTCCCCGGCTGGCCTCCTGTCCCCACCCTCAGATCTCAGACATGTGGAAGGTGTAGCTTCTTGGCCTCTTGTTCCAAGGCCCCTGGCTGCTTTTTGACTGCCAAATGTTTCTGCCTGTCTGAGCCCCCTCTGGGTTTGGCACCACTTTTTAATTTGGGTTTGTCCGGAGCTCAGGTTCAGTAGTTAACCTGCACTGTGTTCAGCCCCACGTGTTTTCCGTAGAGCCCTCTGTTTATGTGATGTTCCTGATTCACAAGAAACTAAAGCATTTTCTGATTTCTTCTCCCTCTAATCTCCCTGCTTACTGTTTTCTACAGGATGTCTATGCTTACACACAAGTTGGAGTTCCAGACTGCAGGATCTTTACGGTGAATCCCAAGGGTGAATTAATACAAGAAAGGACCAAAGGAAACAAGTCATCGTAAGTACATGCCCAGTTCTCAGCCTGGTGCCCTGAACCAGGGTGGAGTGGGGATAAATCGATACTTGTTGAAGTTGGACCCAGCTCAAAGGATCAGAGCTTTTTATGCCTCCTCTTTAGGTGTTTTATTCTCCATAACTGTTAGAGGGATCCTTGATTGTCCTAGGCTTTTAAGAAGTCTTCATTCTGGCACAGAACTGAATCCTATCCCTGAACCTGTAGAACCTGAATAGGCAGCTTCACTACCCGCGATCTTGTGCCTTTGATCAATCTGAAGTCACATCTGTCTCTTCTCCCATCCTTTGTCCTAGGTATCACAGGCTGAGCGAGCTCGTAGAACATGTGTTCCCACTTCTTGATAAGGAACAGAATTCCGCCTTCCCATGTCCAGAGTTCAGTTCCTTCTGCTACTGGCGAGACCCAATCCCAGAAGTAGACCTGGACGACCTGGCCTGAGGCAGCACCTCTGGTGGGGGTCTCACTCACTCTCCGAGAAGGGATGGTGACCACCCTTTCTGCAAACCCAAGGACATGGGGCTGCAGCTGGGCAGCAGCTTTCCTGAGCAGGAACAGGGCTCCTGGAGCCAGTACTGTATCCTCCTTTGCCTCTTCAGGCCACTGCTCAGCACCAGAAAGGAGAAATAAGGGGCCAGGCCTGGGGCACACAAGCTTCGCCCATCATGGGTGGGCTGCACACAAGCTTCCTGTCAAATTGTGTGTGCTGGGTGCTCCTTCAATTGCATAATTTGAAAGGAAGAAAAAAAGACGCTAAAAAAGAGTGGACCAAAACATTTACACAAAGTTGTAATTCCCACAGGGCAGTTGAGAGAGTTTCTCTATAACCAGGTCTATCTTCGAGGATCAGGGTCCACTGAACTCCCTCAGGGCCAGCGAGTGATGTTGGCTGAAACTCCCTGTGCACATTTCTCCTTTGGCTTCACACTCCTGCTACGCCGAAAGGGACGGTTACTCCTGTGTGCCAAATTGGGCAGGGTCCCATAGGGCCCGAGCACCACAGCCACTGAGCCCAGCTTCATAGACTTGGGCATCTGGGGGAAAAAAGGCCCTGTAGATTATTATCTCGTCTGTGACCATTCCACAATGAGACAACTTTTTTCTTAGACCTACCCAGGAAAGCAGGTCTTAACAGATACATATTTTAGGTCTGTTATGTCCTGGGAATAGTCCTTTTGTCCATCCCTCTGTTAGGTGGCTTAGGTGGGCCTTGCCTTTGGGTGTCTTGCTTTGGGGTAGGATTTCTAAAATTCTGCGCTTCCAGTTTGTCAGGGAAGCACAGTGAAGTTTGCTTAAAGGCTACTGGCCAGCAGTGTCACTTCGGCATTTGGAATCACAACCTTGTAGTAAATCCCTCAGAAGCCATGTAAGAGAGAGGTCTTGGAGTTCCTCTTAAGCAGACTACCCCTCAGCAGTGTCCCCAGCCCACCAGGGGACTTATGCAGTTAGCACTGCAGAGGCTGCCGTGTGAGAACCCATGGATATACAGGTGCTTGTCTTTTCACTAAACTGTACATGGTGACTCCATTTTCTGACCTGGTTGTAATGAACTAATGCCCAAAGTCTGAGTGGTTGGCACCAGGGCAGGGTTATGTGCTGTGATCCCCTCCACAGCTTCGTAGAGAGGAGGCTCTTGGGACCAGTGGACCAGGTCATAGTCCTCCATTACTGTGAACTCAGGAAGCAGAGGTTCCCAGACAGGGAAGAAGCAACTGATACAGACCAGAGCACCTGGGATGGTTTTATTTCCAACTCCACATGCCCTGCATTCATATCGGGAACCTCTTTTTGTTTTAGTTTGTCTCACCTAAAACAATAATTGCTCTTTAGAGATGGAGAAATAGGGGTGATTATTTTTCAAGATTGGAGAGTTCAAAGTCCCTGATTGATTTCAGCCATTTTTCCTAGTGCTGTTGGATGCAGAGACAATGTTGAAATCTCTTGAACACAATTCTCATTGGCAGAACCTGGAGATATGTGTTCCAGAGAAGGGATGGCTCAAGCTTTCGCTGGTGCAAATCGTCCTTCTCTAACTATGATAATTCACAAAGACTAACTGTTTAATGAGTTTATTTATGTAAAGCAGGTTAGGGGAACTAGGTTATATTGATGTGAAATTCCACGCCGTGAATTAAAACTAGTAGAGCAGCCAGTTATTAGATCTCACAGATGCCATCAGTGGGTCCTCTGGACTGCTTTTGAGCTAGAAACTAGAAAGAGCTTTATGCTTAACCTGAGCTTCATAGACTTTTTTGCATATGTGCGGTATGGAAACCCTAATGTACTCCTCTCATCCTTCTTAGGTTGTCCTTTTAGAGCTTTTGACCAGAAAGTTTGTTTTTCTTGACAGGCTATTCTCTTTGGATACATGGGCCTTCTTAGAGGGCCCAACCTAGGACCTGGATCTCCTGGCCCTGCATGGCGGGAGGCTGGTCCCTTTGCCCCGTGTCCATTAGCACTAGGCTTTGTTGCTTTGTCACTGCAGACCGATCCAGTGGATACATAGGCTAATTAATGTGAGTCTTTTTCCTTGTTTAAAGGAGTCCCTCTTGCTGAAAGTAGATGATGATTGCTATAGTGTTATAAAAATACTATTAAGTTTGTGCTGAAAATCCATTTCCCATTTGGTACAAATGACATTTGTTCTTTCTGTGAAAGAGAGATGCCCTCAAGTGTGTTTGTACACAACCCTTAGGATGGTGAGTTGAAGTAGCGCCTGCACTGTCTTCAGTGACAGGTGACATAGCAGGGAGATCGGGCTCTTCTAAGTCATTCTCAGTTGCTCCATGTGAAAAAGCCCCATTCCCTCTTTCCAGTTCAACCTCATTGTGGTTGTTTAGCCATCCACGTGTGGAAGCTTGTACTGCTGTGGCAGTCATCGTCTGCTCTCCCTCAGGCTGTGGCAGGTGCACGTGTGGCCCTGGAGCATGCAGACTTAGCCCCCATGTTGAGTACTGTGTTTTGCCGTGTTTAAAAACATCTACATAGTTTTCAACTGGAAAAAGAAAAAAACTTACTAGTATGGCGTTTTAAAATGAAAGTTGCTAAAATTCATAGGGAGAACCAAGGAACAAGCTGACTCAATGACCAGACTGCATCCGTCCCCAACAGCCCAATGGCTGGCATACCTGTGCATAGCCTCTTGTAGTTTGCCTCTTGAAGGTGCAGGTAAGACCTTCTGAAGATGAAGCAAAGACAGAAAGATGTAAGCTCGTTCTCTCTCTCTCTTTTTTTTTTTTTTTTTTTTTTTTTTTTGCAAGTTGCTGAAAACACTCATGGGATTTTATCTTTTCAAATGTCATCATACTTACTCTGGAAGCTGCGTGTTCCCATGTTTTAGAGCATGCTGGGTTAATAAGACTGGCTAAAAATCGAGTTTTTCTTTAAAGTAAGTGCTCTTTCCAGGTGAAAACTACTTTTTCTGGTTTAGTTTGAAGGTAGAAAATGGAGGGAAAACTGCTCTTTTAATTTAATATTTACATTCAGCCTATGATTAGGAATTTGATTATTAGACAGCTGTGTCTCTAATAAAGTTTTAAGTTGTCAGAAATTAATTGTAAACATCAGTACAGTACTCTTAGTTATGGTAAAGACAATTGTCTTAAGATGAACGGCTCATATTTTGGTGCAGTGTTTGATGTTCAAAACAAAATGTTACAACAATAAACAAACATAAGCTGAGTGCATTTGGCTCTTTCTTCAGGGGACATTTAAACCATCTTTATACTCTTGCCAGAAATTGATAATTTCCATAAATTAGCATTTTGATCTTTGTTGACACTTAAATTTGCCTATAGAAGGGACTTCTCTTGGGTGCTTATTTTTAGAACCCAACTCCAGAAATGAGGCTACAAGCACAAGAACCAACTTCTTGCTTTGTAGGTTCTGCCAGCAAATTATTCATTCATACATATGTAATTTCTTTGTAGGCTCATTGGCATGCAGGAGGTCATGTTTACCTACTACTCAGAGCTCCCTTGGGTCCTGTTCAGAGCCCCTAGATTTTTGCTATAGGGCACATGTGTTGGACACCCCACCTTTCATTAAACCCTTCCTCAGGGTAGATACAGTTTAGTAGTCCTGACGTTTTCCTCAGATTAGCAGAGTCAAAGTGATCTTGTACCAAAAACCACATCCTACTATTACTTAAATGAGTATCTCATCATCTCAGACTTTTGGTCCCTCCCCACCTGCAGCATGTGCTGAACACACTGAGTCACCAGTCCCTCCCTCAAAGCTTGCTTTTAAGCATGGAAAAAGGATTGCATTTCACACTCTGCCATGACGTGATAGTTCAGTGAGAGCGCTTTGAGGTGTACTTTGAGTATAGAAGGGAAGAGCTCACTTGGAGTTTGATTATGGTTTTTAACCAGAACAGTTTTGAGTGCTTCATAGAGAAGCAGCAGGCATTCTGTCCCTGAGCTTCCCTTTGCCACACCCTGTGCCTCTTCAAGTTCGCGTGTGCCCCTTCCATAGGTAGGATGGTACAAGGAAAATGTGTATTTAGAAAGTGAGTATGGATGTCTACAAAGCCATTTCAAATCTATAGTTTGGACTTGGGCATCTGATCACAAACACTCCTTTCAAGCTGCAAACTGAGAAGTAAGTCTGGAAGATGAAAAGTCATCATGAAGTCAAGATTAATGTGCTTAACCTGGAAATAATTTTTCAAATGTGATTTGTGTTCATTTGCAGTCCTAATAGCAGGTATGGTTTTGTTTTTTGGAGAGAGATTTTTGCTATAGGGCATGTGCACTTGCTGGAGAGAGAGAGACACAGAAAGCAAGAAATCACCCACTGGAGAGATGGCTATGCCACAAACCTCCATTCTCCTCTCATGACTTTGTGCATGCATGCACACACTCAGTGTGTTTCAAGCCACCAGGTCTGTGATTTGAACCACAGCCAGCCATGTGGGAGTCCAGCACCTTAACCACTACACCACCTGCTTTCCCAGATTTTGTTTCTTTTAATCACTTAAATGAGGCCATTTGCCAGTCTTAACATATGGGGAGAAATCTGTCTCTACCTTAAGTGTCCTGACCTTTTTTCTCAGTGACAATGCCTTGATTTCAGTCATCGTAACCTTGTGCCAGTTAAGTCTCAGAGATTGATTTGTTCCTCAGACTGGCAGATACACCACTTCAGTGTGTTGACCTTTATAAGGGGCTGCCTAGAAGGCCCCATAGCCCTTGAGCTCAGCTGACACTTTGTTGCCCATCATTACAAAAAGATGACCATGTCCTTTCTAAAGATGCTGTCTCCTAAATGGGTCAGGACCCAGCTTTCATCCTGTTTTATCCTGAGGCATACAGGATTCTGCTGTAGTTGGACTTGTTCTCTTTTGCCTGTCACGGATACATAGAGCTGAAATTCACACATTTTTAGTAAATGAGTCAAGTTTCACTTGAACTCTAGAGGACCATCTGTGGCATAGAAAAAAGTTATCTACCTTCGGTCTGGTCCCTGCCTTTTCAGCTACTGAGCGTTCGTCCCCTTTGGCACTGCAGTCTTCTAAGGGTCATTTGAGAGAAGCGGGTGAAAGCATGTATATATGCCAACAGGGTTTTCCTGAAAATACTCCTCTGCATTGGGATTTTTTCCATGAGTCATTTCTAGACAGCCAAGCTGCCTTCAGCCAGTTCCCCAGCTGTGGAAACAAGGGGTGAAAATGCCTTTCCTTCCTCTCAGCAAAGATGTCCAAATTCTTGAATAGTAAAACAGCAAACTTTTAGTTCTTGCTCACTAGCTTCTTAGCTGGAGGAGAGGTGGATAGTAAGAACTTGGAAGCATTTATTAGCCACCTTGTAATTTCATTTCCAATAGTCCTTGAACCTCAAAGTATTTTCACAGCACAGGAGCATCTTCTGATGACGCACTGTAGTCCAAAGAAATGGAAGCTCTTGTTCCTATCATCCAAAGCTCTCCCTGAGACTCTGGGGTACTTGCCTTACCTGCTTTTACCGCTTGACCGGCAAAGACCACCTTGAGCGAAGGGGCCTGTGTGCCTGGAGATTTCTGTAGCTGCTGGTGAAGTATAAACGTGTCTGAGCTTCCCCTAAGAACAGCATACTCGCTGTGGGAAGACCCTGGCTGTCTCAGATGACCTCAGCTTTGAGCATGTGATCAGTTTGATGTTGGGCCTCTTGTTGCCTAGGAACCCGGGAGTTGGTAAAGCTAGTGAGCTATGCAGTAAAGCATTGATGACTGGGGCTCATTTGCCTGTGCAACTGCTGATTGGACAGGAATTGCCAGCATCCCCTGAAGGAGCCCCCCTCAGCTGCTGGATCACATGGGAGCCTTTGACCTCTAAGCACATCTGGTTTGTATTTACAAGCCAAAAACAAAACCCAAGTGTACAGCTTGGATGCTGAGGGGTAACAGTTTGAGTTGAGATTCATAGACCCAAGTTTTCTCTGGTTTTGTAATGGTTATTTAAAAAAAAAAAAAGTCAATTACTTGGGACCAGCAGTTTGCATACTGGCTATGTCACTGGACTCCCACGTAGGTGACCACAGTTCAAATCTCAGACTCGGTGGCTTAAAACTCACACCGGGCGCATGTGCATGTGTGCTCAAGATCCCCAAAGGAGAATGGAGGAGAAGGGATTGCGGCATGACCATCCCCCCGGGGGGTGATTTCTCGCTTTCTCTCTGTCTCTCTCTCTCTGGCGAGAGCACGTGCCCTATAGCAAAAACCTTTCCTAAAAAAGGTCAATTACCCCTCTGTGGTTTACTTTTAACCAACAGCTCCCAGTCCATAATGCTCTTGATTTAAACAAAGTAACCTGAAGTGGTTTTACATCTTTATTGACACTCCCTGTCTTTGTACTTAAATCGTACATGTCATTTAAGGAGCCCAACAAGCTTCATACAAACAGGCTCTAGTGCATTTGGGACAAGGCCTGAGTGAACAGAAATGAGGCCCAGACAGAAATGCCATGTGGAGGCATGGCCACTCCAGCACTTCAGTGTTTAAACTTCTCCTGCTGCAGGGTCAGTCGAGACAGAGACAGTTGGTAACAGCGTTGCTCTCCAGCAAAGACCAGCTGCAGGTGACCAGGTCTTAGAAGCCAGCTGCCTCCTCTCAAACCTTTAGTCCAGCAGCAGTTCCTCTATCAGCAGGATGCGATCCGACAGCCAGGCCCCACAAGGAAGCACCACAGATGTCCAGCTGAGGAACCCTCGGAGTGGAGCTGGACGTGGACTGGGAAGATGCAAGGGACGATCCAGCTTACAGGCAAGGGGGGCTGTCTGAATCTTCCAGGTATGCAGTTGGAATGACAAGTCAATGGCCATCTTAACCATGAGTTTAACTCCTGGCTGCCTGCCTGGAAGCTATAACGTGTGAGGTAAGGCCCTTATCTTGGGGGCAGGGGTCAGATGTATACAGGAAACTAGACCAGTGCTCCAGTCATATACAGAAATGGAATATATTAAAGCTTCAGAGTTTTCACAACTTACTTTCCCCTTACCTCTCCCCAGCCGCCCTATAGGTGGGAAGGGACAGGATATAAGAAAACCCCACTAAATGTGGAGTACATTTCATCAAAGTCTGTGTGTGCCAACTTGCCCCCAGTCACCACGATGTTGACTCCATCTCCCACCTTCAAGTGCACAATCAGATGGAATGCCCCGGGGCCCCCACAGGTATGCAAAGCCCCTGGGGGTCGGTGGTACTCCAGGAATTCTCTCTTGTAGCCAGCCGTGTGTAGCTGGGCTACACTGGCATTGGAGACCGACAGGACAGCTTCCACGTAGGCATCTCTCTCCGGGGTGAGGGTGGCTGTGATCAGGTAACGCCCATCGTAGGGAGCCGTGAAGATCCCTGGCAGAAGGAAGGCAGACATTTCTTACCTGATGCCACGACCACCTTTGCATGGTTGAGTCACAAACTAACCTGGACCAGCCAGGGGCTGCCCTGGTTTTCATGTTTAATTCTGGCCATGAGTGGATGCCACACATGTACATGTCTAACGTAGGGAGACTGGCCCTTGAGAGGTGGCCAGCCACTGTCTGTCAGCCTCTCCCTGGCTTGGTGGCAAGCCCTGCTCTTAATTGGTTCTGCCTAAGGAGGCAACTTGGACATACATGGCTGTCGTGCCCAGCTAAGCCAGGAGGCTGATTTTGAGCTGGCCCTGGGGTATTTCCAGTGAGGGGAAATACTCCAAGGCAGGCTTCTGAACAGATATTTCTTCTCCCATTAAATCTGAGGAGAGGGTGGGAGCAGGCCTGGTGGATGCTGACACGGTACCGTGGCTGAGTGGGAACCCTAGAGGGACTGACCACTCTTCACAGCAATCCAAGGGGTTTTCTGTTTCCTAGACCTGCTGCTGTGAGGGAGTTACTAAAACTTGGGGTTTCACAGTTATCTGTTCTCTACTGCATGTTACAAGCAGAAGACAGTATTGCAACGAGGGATGTGTCGGAGGCAAACGGCACAGTGTGAGCTGAGGTAGCCTCCGACCACTGAGCCTCGTGTTCTGGGCCTGGGGAGGTGAAGGAGAGGTGGCCAAGACGCAAATGCTGCACTTTGCAAAGCAGCAGCTGAGGGCTTCAGCGACAAGAGAAGCAAAAGCCCGCGTCAGAAACACAGGAGCAGCCACCTGTGGGATTGGGAAGGACACCAGATGACCACTGACCAGGAGACACTGAAGGAGCTTCTCATTTCCCTGTCCCAGCGTGCTAGGATGACTGCCAGAAACCAAGGAAGAGGGGCACCAGGTGACAGCGCTGGGCAGAAAGGAGCGGGCCAGGGTGCAAGAGGCTGCAACTGGCAGAAGCTTTTTAACCATAAAAAATGCACAACACCCTTCTAATGGCGAGTGCTGAGGACGAGTGTGCCGACCTCATGCCTGGAGAATGTGGCTGCACGCTCACACACCCACACTGCCGGCAGCCTGCCAGCCACAACACTGCAGGGAACCTATGGGGCTGATGCGCAGGTCCCCACACAGGGCCATCTTCCAAGGCGTCCTCCCAACCCCACAGGAGCCAAGGGACCCCGCTGACAATGGGAGAAAACAGCACACCCTTCCCTTCAACCACTCACCGGTGTTGGGGTTGTAGACATCCCCGTCGTTTACCAGCACTTTGTTAAAGAGGACAACACCCCCATCACTGGGGAAGGGCTTCTGGGTGAGCCCAGCAGAAAAAGACACCACAGAAGGCACCGGAACCCCTGGAGCAGAGAGAGCCATGAACATGTTGACACTTTCCCAGTGAGTCTAGCCTCCGGGGATGGGAACTGCTGTCAGAGCCTAAAAAACAGGCCTGGTGTGCCAGGCCCATTCCCCTTCAGCTGGAAGTGGAAGAGCAAGCACTCCGCCCACCCTCCTCCCAGTGTCTCAAGCCAGCAGTCAGGATAGCTGAGGAGTCAGGACAGTCGGACAGGCCTGTGTGAGATTGTGTGCGCATGTGCACGCGTGTTGGGCCAGCAGCAGGCAATGGGTGTGTGCCGAGAATAATCTAGAGAACTGCTCACTCACTGATGAACCAATAAACCGGGGCTCCCAGGAAGCTCATTAAGACCACACAGGGCAGAGGCCCACCCCAGGATTCCCCCGGGAATCTCACTGAGCTGGGACGGTGCCGATGTGAGAGGGCAAATTGCTTGGCTTGGGCCTGACGGACCCCCTTCGGTGAGCACATCTCGGGGGCTTGTGTCCGTGGCAGACAGCAGAGGCCTGTCCTGCAGGTGGGTGGGGAAGGGCTTGGCCCTAGGCTCAACCAGTGCTAATCACAGAAAGGACAGAGCGAGGAGGGCACAGAGTGGGGCTGAGGGAGACAGGTCACCAAGGAGAACTCTTTCCTACCCCCACCCCATCTCACGGCAGGCACACACATACCTGGGGACACAGGAGGTGGCTTGGGGTATCCTGAAAAACAAAATGGGAAATGGAATGTCCACTTTCTGGACAGCAGCTCATTTTGTGAACCCCCTTTCTCCCCTCTGCTCTTCCCAGGCTCGAGTTGAGTCAGTTACTAAAGAGAATGCCTGCCCATCAGCCAGGTGCCCCGGGAGTCAAGAGCACACCTGGCTGTCTCCCGCAGGAACTAACCCCAGGGTCTGGCTGCCCCGGGGTCGGCCTGCTGTGACTCCCACCTGCAGCCCGTGGCCCGCCGGAGCAAGGGTATCTGTTCACATGGCATAGCCCGAGTCACCTCCCTCAGCTGTCCAACAGAACCGCCTGCCTCACAGCGCTGCAGACTGGGAGAGGCAGGCCTGGCTCCATTTCTGGGCCCCACGAAGGCTGGCTCCCTTCCTTGTCTCATGGCCCTACTGTCGCTACCTTGCCATCCTAAGGCGTCATGGGGTGGACAGACACCTCAGAGAACCTAGCTGAGCACTGCAGGAGGCCTCGTCCTCACGGCCCACGGCCTGCTACTGCCCTGTCTTCGGTGCTGAAGGACCCGTGCCTGGGAGGGTGGCCGGGCCGGGAGGTGCAGCTGGTGGTGCAGCAGCCCTCCTGCACAGCCGCCTCGGCTACCGAGTGGGCTCCGGGTACACTGGGGTCCCCCGGGTCCCTCTGCTGTGGTGC